AATCTTTTATTTGAAACAAAATTCATAATTAAATGACATTTTGTAACAAAAAATCTTCACCTCCGTTATTAAGTTAATGTCGATACGAAAACGTTAGTGTCAAAAACGCGCTAACGGCACGCTGTCGCTTTCAATGCCCAAAATCATGGCGTGAGGTCTTATTACAAAACGTGGTTTATGATTAGTCTTGTGCTGTGGTTTAAGAATGTTTATAAAATAAACCGTCTTTCACACTTTACTATTCGAATGCTCGAACATTTTTATTTCATTCATTCTGTTATATGTGCGAAAGAAATAACGAAAGAACGGAACAAATAAATTAATTATTATCAGATAACATCAGATAACAAATAAGACATAATAAGACGAATTATTATGTCTTATTTTAAAGAGATATATAAAATAAAAATTCTTCTTTAATCATATATTTTAAGGAATGACTACAGACTACAAAGGCCTTATTAGTTAGTTTGGTGGTTACGTTTTTCAATATTTAAATTTTATTCAGTAACGACAATATAAAATACTTATTTTCACATCACAATACTGCAAACTCAATGAATGGCCAAATGTATGCTATGTCCTAAATACATTTGCCCCCAAGGCCGTCCATAGACACCATGATGATATTGCATCTTCTACATATCTCATTTACCACGAGGAGTGCTCTGAGGAATTGTTCGGATTAATTCCAGTCGTAAAATTTCACTAACGCAGATCGCGACAAAACTCACGATACCATCCATATACCATCTGGTTGATTGGCGGTCCTCTACCGTGCAATTTACTAGGAGTTTTGTTCCTCACACGACTTCTTTGTGGAATCGTTTACCACCGCCGATTTTCCGGATCGTTATGGCTTATGGACCTTTAAGAAACGAGCTTACTCCTTTTGAAAAGGCCGGCAAAGCACCTGCAATTTGCAACACCAAGGGGTGTGCATTTGTTATGTCTCTTATATAACAATTACATGTTTAAAAAACTCACTGCTGATCTCCATAGACTGCTTAAAAGGAAAGAATTTTTCCATAATTGGCATGCATGACATGTGGTTTGGAAACGGCAGATTATAAGACACCACCAAGAGCAATGCACTCGGAGATTTTACCCAAAAAGGTTAAGCTAGCCCCAATTTAAAATACAAGGCAGAAATAATATATATTATTGAGAAATTATTAATATTATTTATTTAGCTATAAAATAATTAAAAAAAAACAAATCAATAAAGCAATATTGAAATAATTAAAAACAAATCATACCTAGCATTATAGTGGCCAGTAATAAAAAATAATATCATTCTAATTTGTTTTAACTAGTTATTTTTTTATTCTTTCGAATATATTCACGTGTGTATTTTTAGTGTTAAAGATTGGTAAAGAACACCATGCTTAATATATTTATTGTAAAATGTGTATATTATGTAAATTTACGTTTATTAGTGTGTACAAAATGAAATAAATATTTATTAAATGATTTGGTGTTTTATTTTTAACAAACGTAATACAGCGGTTGTCGTAAGCTCTACTTATTAGGTGCCCAGAGAAAAATGCGGAAAATATAACGATCGGGTGTTGAGGATTAAAATATTACTCAAGTATCGGGTACTACCAGGATCATAAGAAAGATGAGTTGATGTTATTCTTGGATAGCACTCGTATACTTGAAGCACTGTTTAATATTAGTGCACATTTACAACTTAGCAGCAGAAGTGTTGTTGGTATCGCGATGTATTCCATGTCGCCCATGATTATGGTATTATCAGCTACAACAAAAGCTGTGGTATAGCTTTTGTTGCAACACGGATAGATCGGCTCGACATGTGAAGGACCACACTCTCACTGAATATCAGCGTAAAATATTAGCTTAATGCTGCTTCGTATAGTGAGTGTAGAGAACCAAAGACCCTTTTTACTGGAATTGTACATCTCAGTCCTCAGAGGTAATAACCGATAACACATCTACATTTTGATTCTTAACCGAGGATAAATAAAGATGTCTATGGGCCACAGTATCCACTTAGCATCAGGTGGACTGTGTGCTCGTTTGTTACCCTTATTCTATATAAAAACTATATACTATTTACATATACTCCGGTCTGCATATAGAGAACCGGTAAAGTCACAAGTTTTGAGGCATTTACTGCTGTGTTCCGGTTTGAATGGTTTAGAGAGTAAAAGGAAGTTAAGAAGGCATTCTTAGTCGTGGTTTTCCATCAAAAAAAGTCCAAAGTTGATTAATCTTAGACCTCAGAATATATTTTTGGCTCGTACGGAATCATATATATTTATATCGGATAATAATTATTCGATGTACAATTAAAATAGAAGAGCCGAGCGAACTTACAGTCCACCTCATGGTAAGTGCGTCCTGCAGACCTTGGACACCTGCAGCCGATTTCAAACAAAGGAAGCTAAATATGCGTTGTCACCTCTAAGAACTGGTTATAGTTTTTTATATATAATAAGGGTGACCAACGAGCACACAGTCCACCTTAAAAGGCGCATGTTGTAATCCATAGAAATGTATATTTATCAAAATGCCTATGCGTTGTCACGCCTGAGGAATGATTTGGAATGCCTCGTATCCTGTAAAAAGAGTCTCTTGAGCTTTAAATAACTTAAAACATATAATAATAATAATATTCTTTATTGCATACAAAATATTACAAAACACAACAAACTTAAATTTATAAATTTATGTACAATTAGGTAGCCTTATCGGTAAACAGCGATCTCTTTCAGGCAAACCTTGGTGAAGAAGATCTTTTTCATTTAGACATATAGAAATGTGTATAAATAGTAGATAAACAAGTATATATTACTAATGTAAGCAATATATCGTATATGAGACAATGTCATAATGAGATACATAATATTATACACACATATACACATATAAATGCGCACATATATATACACATACAACACACACACACACACACACACACACACACACATACACATAATATATTATATCATCTCGTGTGTTTTTCAGCTTGCTGTACAAATTATAGCAATCGGCAATAAATATTTACTCGAGCGAGACACACTCTAAGCTTCCGTTTCGATAACAGAGATAATGTAGCTGAGATTCGTCTATATTAAGTGATGAATATAATTAAATAATTTAATTTAAATAGCTGTGACGTCGTGGGAGATCATCCGTTTTGTGATATGTATGTGTGCCCTTCCGTTATAGCCAATCAAAGTCCACTACTGAACACAGGCCTCCCCTTACATTGCCTTAAAAACGGATATTTGCCATAGATGCCCTACTCAGCTTATTATGTCCACTGTTGGACGTGGGACTTGTGTTATCTCGATTGGGGTAGGATCACGCTTTCACAACAATGGTAGAGCTACGCGAGCGCGCGAGCCACATGCTGGTGCGCGTATGGGTCGGCTCGAACCGGGGTGGTAACACGATCTCACAGAAGACCAGCGTGAAGTAGAAGCAACGCTTCTGTATTTCGTCTGGCGAGTGCAAGTGGCCGGAGGCCCATTTCTCTCCCCTTAACATGGTAACGGAGTTAAATAGAATACTATCCCAGGAGGGCACCAGCACCCCTGGTGACGGAGAATCCCTCTCTCGAGACTAACCTGCTTGGGGCAAACGGAGCAATAAAACAAAGGCGTCCCTTACCACGCTATCCGTGAATTTCTGTCAGTTCAGGGAACTTCATTTAACCTTAACGCTGTCCACTACCATCCGGAAATGGCGAACCCGGCCTTGCTCCTTCTAACCGAGACACAGCTGTTCTCTACGACTGATACAAATTAGAACACTCCTTGTGCCCCGGGTTGGAGGTTGCGTGTACGTCAGAGAAGTCATCTGTTTTCGATGCTTCGGCAGTCTTGAAGGAACGGAACCATCCTATGGCTGCGTGTAGAGAGCGACGACCATCCCCGCGTCTACGGGTGCATCTATAGATCCCATAGCGGTAATTTTGACACAGACCGAATCATCAACCAAGTTCAAATGGCAGCAGGCTCCGTACTACAACAGGTCCCATCCGAATCCAATGCTTGATGATTTTAACGCCCATCACACTAAATGGCTTGGTTCGTCGTTCGTCGTTCAATCGTCTTGTCTGCCGTCACGTTAATAGCTACTCCGTAATTTTTAACATAATTAAATATTTCTAGTGGCCTAGACGGGTTAAAAACTCAACCAAAATGTAATAAATTGTTTAAATTTCATGTGACATTGATGGTGAACTGTTTCAACTTTGTTTATGGACGTAATATTGAAAAAAACATTATACGGTATTGTTGGTATTGAGTGAATTCACAAGAATTGAGTGAATAAAATTCAAGTTAAAATTACTTAAAAGTGTACTATCGTGAAATCGACTATTGTAATAAGTGTATAAAAAACGTTTTCTACTTAAATCAATAAACTAAGTGAAATAGTGATTAATGTAAATTAATAACTTTTTTAATAACTACCGCCAAATCTTTCGAATAAGTTAATCATATACGGACCATTTGTTTCGTTAGTTACTATTAACTCAACTTGGCTCATATGTCGCAACGTATGCTATAACGCATGACTCAAGTTCCGAACCCAGTGAAAAAAAATTTTATAATTAATTTTATCTATAATTTATTTTAGGCTTTATATAACTAAACTAATATTTTCCTATTTTGTGAGTGGAATTGTTGCATCTAGACAGTTACAAACGATTGATTTTCTTATTAAGTTTCGATAAAACTTTATTTTTTTATTTTTTCCTTTTTCTCGAACTGTCAGTGAACTTTATTTTAGTGCTTAGAAAATTTGTATTATTATTTTTTTTTATTTTTTTATTCTGATTATTGGTAAAGAACTAAAAAAATGGCTGATCAAATATGTAAGGAATGTAATGACACAATCATTGATAGAGAGTTTTTGATTTGTTCCGACTGCGATGAATACTATCATTTGAAGTGTACAAATATTTCACCGAAATTATATTATTTAAAAAGTCCAATTAAAAGAAGACGATTCCAGTGTAAGTCATGTGTAAAAAATTACAAGATAATGACTGCGTGCTAAATCAGTCCTCACCTCTAACTGAGAGCTTAGAAACGGCTACCAGAAATGTTACTACACGTAAGAAAATAATTACAAATAAAGTAGCCTCTAATTCATTTGGCTCCTTATCTGTTGATGAGAACTTTGAATACTCTTCCTTAACATCAACTCCAACACACGTGGACATAGGTGGAAGTAATCTGACTGATAAAAATACCAAGGATTGTATAAGCAAATTAAATGAAAAATTATGTGAACTACAAAGAAAACTTGATAATGCAGACAAGGAGATTGAAGACCTGATATCAGAAAACTATATATTAAAAAAAGAAATAGCCGAATTTAAGTCGAAACCTGAGAGATGTGTGTGTATATTATCATCTAAGATCAAGAACGTATCAAATACAAATAGATCACAAAGCATTAACGAAGTAGAATCAAACCTATTTAACAGTGCTGAAAATAAGGAAACCCCTAATAATATTGAAAGTAAAAACCATAATTCAACAATAAATCAAAAAGAACAACACAAGGTATGCGTAAATGAATATAAAAAAATTAATGGGGAAAAAAAGTAAGCAATGCAGAACTGATGAACCGATACCCTTGAAGCACACTAGAAAGCTATGCATAATCAGCAGCAACAACAAAAATAATATAAAAGGCATTGCACAAGACTATTTCTCTAAAGATTTTGAATTCTGTCATTATATAAAAACAATATTAGATTTAATTCAAGGCCTTGACAAAAAACTGATTAATTACACTTTACAAGATTATTGTGTTGTTCTAATTGGAGATTATGACTTCAGGATGTCACAAGATTATAACAGACTAGTGGAGAGCTTAAGGCAAACCATACAATGTATCACTCACACTAATATAGTAATTTGCATACCAACTTTTAGATGTGCTAAAGATACAAATATTTTTAATAGAAGAATCGAAAACTTTAACTATTTGCTGTACAAAAATATTAAAGCCCATGAGTATGCATATTTACTAGATTCAAATTTGAATCTCACCTATGATTATCACATGTTCTCTGGTAAACTTGGTGCCGTGAATAATAAAGGCATGAGAGCTTTGTTTGCAGATCTTAAGAGTTTACTATCAGAAATAGAGAGTTCGTATATGTCTATAGACTACCATAAATCCAACAAAGGGACGCAAACTGATAAATTAGTTCAGCAAAGTGTTAGTGAAAACGTTTCGGATGTAAAATTATCTAATGATGACTTTTTTCGAAAACAAGAAAAGTAAATTTCTGTATGTAATGCATCAAAATATATGTGGTGCGCTAGGTAAAATGGATAATATTGAGATCATATTGGAGGATTTTTCAAGTGAAGGAAACTGTATTGACGTTATTTGTCTAACTGAACATTTTGTCAAGAATGGACATGAAACCAATTTAGTATGTAATTACTACAATCTAGCTGCCATATACTGCAAAAAAAATTCAAGAGGAGGTGCATGTATTATGACTCGAAGAGGACTTAATTACCGAGAATTACCTGAAATTACAAGAAACTCTCTCAGTACCGTATTTGAATGTTGTGCTATTGAACTTGTGTCTTTTAATGTTATAATTATTTGTTTATACAGAACTCCTAATTATAGTAATATCTCTAACTTTTTCGAAAAACTTGAAACTTTGTTGGATAGGGTTAGCAAATATAGAACTAAGAAAACTATAATATGTGGTGATTTTAATATTGATGTTTTAAAAAATTGCATGACAACTAATGTATTTATTAATCTTTTGTCGAGTTATAACTTTAAAATTGAATTCATGGATGCGACTAGATTACAAAGTGGAACGTGTATCGATAATATCATTCATAATTGCCGTGGGTGTAAAAGCAAAATTTTACATTTAGGATTATCCGATCACACTGCTCAAGTGTTGCAATATCCTATCACAATAAATTACTCCTGCTTGCGATACTGGTTTATCAAAAGACGTGACTATAGTATTGAAAATCTAACCAAATTTAGAGAATGCCTGGAAAGCTTATCCTTTTATGATATTTATCAAAGCAATGATGTAAACGAAGCGTACAATTTGTTTTATGAATTGATTAAACTCTTTTATGACTTATGCTTCCCGTTCAACCTAATTAAAGTTTCAGCTCAGCGGAAGCCATTTTGGATTACAAGTGGTATCAAAACATCGTGTAAACGCAAAAGGAAAATGTACTTTCAATTAAAATCTAAAAATGATAAACTTAAATATAATGCTTATACAGCACTTTTAAAAAAAGTTATTAATAAATCACAACGCATTCAAAACAACAATTACATCAACAAGTCTAAAAATATAACAAGATCTACGTGGAAGATAATAAATTCAAATAATTTCACAAAGCCAAAAGAAATTATGAAGAGTGTAACTTATAAAGGGAAAACAATTACTAAACCAGGTGATATTGCAGAAGCTTTTAATGATACATTTATGAATCCTGTACAGAACTGCAAACCAATAAATTACAGAAGTAACATTGAACGTATATCAAATTCATTGTTTATGAATCCAACAACGCCCGATCATATAGTTAAAATAATTAATAGCTTAAAAAATAAAACAAGTGTTGGTCACGATGAAATAACCACTAGAGTATTGAAATTTTGTAATTTTCAGTTTGCTCGGCCGCTTAGTCACATTATCAACTTAACTATAAATAAAGGGATTTACCCTGATAAGCTAAAAATAACAGTAATTAAACCTATTTTCAAGAAAGGGGATAAAGAGGATTGTAGGAACTATCGCCCAATTGCTCTGGTTTCTGTCATTTCCAAAATTTTTGAAAAAATCATATATACAAACATATATAATTATTGCGAACGATTTAATTTACTAGCAGACGAGCAATACGGATTTAGAAAGGATAGATCTACGAATCTAGCCATATATCACATGATAAAAGTTGTATCGGAATGCCTTGACGATCGCGTTCCAGTAACTGCTATTTTTATGGATATGTCAAAAGCTTTTGATTACGTAAATCATGAAAAGCTTCTGCAAAAGTTATATATGTATGGTATCAGAGGACCTATATTTGGTCTTGTATCGTCATATTTAAATAACCGATTTCAATGCACAGAAATCTCTTATGTTAATGAGGAAAATCGATCTGAAGTGCAAGTACGATCTCAGTCACAGCTTGTAAAGTGTGGTGTACCCCAAGGAAGTATACTTGGGCCTCTTCTTTTTCTATTGTACATCAATGACCTACCTAGACATGTGCAGCATGAAATGATCCTTTTCGCAGATGATTCTACTGTTATGATAAAAAACAACAGCAATAAACCATACGAATGTGTTATTGCTGAAGCTTTGTCTGATATTATTAATTGGATGAAAGCTAATGATCTCGTCATAAACCTAGATAATACAAAATATATGCAGTTTCATCTTCCCCAAAACCGGAAACAAGAGACTGTTTTTGTTAAGTATGAAGGGCATTTGATTGAGCGAGTAAAACAAATACGTTTCCTTGGTGTATTGGTTGATGAATGTGTAAGCTGGAAACCGCATACCGAATTTCTTGCAAGTAAAATTAGTAAATTTGTTTATCCTCTAAGAAAATTAACACAAACTGTCTCACAAAAAGCTGCACTTACTGCTTATCATGGATACGTTGCCACCAACTTAAGATATGGTATCATACATTGGGGAGGCGCGGCTGATGTTAACCTGTTGCCATTGTTTAGTATGCAAAAAAAAGTGTCTCAGAGCAATGTTTGGTGCCAAACAAACAGACAGTTGCAGACCTCTGTTTGTAAAATTAAAAATTCTAAATCTGCCCTCGTTGTACATATACCACGCCTGCTTATTCGTCAAAAAGTAATTTACATTATTTTAACTCGCACATTGCTAAGCACCCGAGGCAAACAAAGAGTAGTGTTACTGTTATACCGTTTCACACATCTAGGACAGCCTTTTTCTCAAAAAGTTTTTATGCATTAGGACCAAAAATATATAATCATTTACCTGACAAATTAAAAGAATTAGAAATAAAAAAAATTTAAGAATAAATTATTAGAATTATTGACTGAAAGATGTTTTTATTCCTTAAAAGATTATTTGAGCTACAAACTTACATTTTAAATTAATTGACATTTGAAATATTTTCTGAATTATGTTTTAAGCAAAGAGTATTCAAATCACTACGTTTTAGTTATAAGCTTACATGTATTTTGATATATCAATATTCCATTCATAGACTTAGATTATACTGGTATAATACCATTGTACTTTTGATATTATTATTTATAATCCACTTTTGTTAAAATAATTCATTGTATGACATTATGCTTTATTATCCGTGTTATTTGATTTGATTTAATGAATAATGAGATGATGTTTTAAGTTCCATAATTTTAATAATATTGTAAGCCTTATCTAGGCAGGTTGTGGTGATACTTAATTATTTTTATAGTGTTAAATCTCTTAAACCTACAACTAGCACAATAAATGACTTATTCTATTCTATTCTATTCTATTCCCGTTTAACCGATAATGCGGGTATACCGCATGCTCGTTTCCCCCCTCCTCTATAAAAAACAGTGTAAAACGGAAACTTAATGCTGCTGTGTTTAGTATGGTGTGTGTAGTTAACTGGAGACCCTTTTCACTGGAAACAGGGCATTCTATCTTAGTCCTTATGTGACAACGCATCTGCATTTTGATTCTTAATTGAGGATAGATGTAAATGTCTTCGGGCCAGATAAATCATTCACCATCAAGTGGACTGTGTGCTCTATGTCTAAAAAATCTTTGGGTATGCGTTGGTGAGTACCATTTCTATCAAGATTGTTAAAAAACGTTGAAGAAACAATAACCGACGTCGATGTATTCCCCAATTTTGGCATTGAGCATTATTGAATAAACGAAATTGGTAAAGAGAAATCCACGCGAAAGCCGCGGAAAAAGCAAGTTTTTTTTTAAAATAGAATAAGGGAGAAAAGGTAGGTGATTCGATTTCAGTTGTTTTGTTATTACCCGACTGCTCTTTTTTATAGAATAAGGGCGAGCAGACAGTCTACCCGATGGTAAGTGGATGCTGTGGCCCATAGACATCTACATCTATCCTCGAATACGAATCATCTTGCAGATGTGTTGTCACCCGTGAGGACTAACTTAGAATGCCTCCATTCCAGTAAAAAGGTTCTCCGGTTCTCTACACTTACCATACTAAACACAGCAGCATTATGCTGGTATTTAACTCATTCGTGCTACAACTATACTACAAATACAGATGCAGTATGGCTCTACCATGTAAATAAAACAGATTGATTAAAACACCCATATTTTATAGAATGAAATGACAAACGAGACACAGTCCATCTGATGGTAAGTAAATGCTGTAGCCCATAAACGTCTATATTTATCCTCGATTAAGAATCAAAACCCAGACGAGTTGTCACCCCTGAAGACTAGGACGGAAACCCTCGTTTTCAGTAACAAAGGTTCTCCGGATCTCTACACTCACCATACGAAACACAGCAGTATTCAGCTGCTATTTTACGCTGGTATTCTGTGAGAGCGTGGTCCTTCCCCGGTCGAGCCGAC